TTTTTTTAAAGATTTTATTTATTTATTCATGAGAGACAGAGAGAGAGAGAGAGGCAGAGGGAGAAGCAGGCTCCCAAGGAGCAGGGAGCCCGATGAGGGACTCGATCCCAGGACGCTGGGATCTTGACCTGAGCCGAAGGCAGACGCTTAACCATCTGAGCCACCCAGGCGCCCCCAAAATAAAAAATTTTTAAAAAGTATCAGGACTGAGGCATTCGAAACCATCAGATTCCATCCAGTCATATTACAAAGACAGAAACGGAGGTGCAGGAGGGGAGACTAGAATCTTGCTCTTTTGACTCTCAGGCCCATGCGTGCGCTCCGGTTAACCTGCATTTATTTCCTGTGTAGATGAACACACAGTAGGGCACCTACTGTGTGCCAGGCATTGTGTTGTCATGGAAGGGGCACAGAGGTGAATATGGCAGAACCCCTGCTCTCTGAGGGCGCAGAGCCTGGCATGTCGATCTGTTACTCACAAAGGATGGGGAGCACTCAGTTCCATCTGGATAGAAAAGTTATATCCACCCAAAGCACTCCAGAGAAGGCTTCGACCGGCAGAGGTGGGCCATTGGAGAGGGCATTCCAGGTAAAGGAGAAGAGGTGTGTAAAGACATTGAAGGTTTTGGAGCAGAGGTTAACCTTTCAAGTCTTTAGAAAGAGTAATCTAGCTTCCGTGTGGAGGATGGAGGAAAAGGTAAAGGCAGGGAGGCCTGCTGTGGATTATTGCAATGGCCCAGGGGGCAATTGATGGAGTTATGATTCCGTTCTTCCCCAACCCGTACGCCTCACCGCTGATAACCTCACTTGATTATGCATTGAGAAAACAAGTGCCATCAGACAGGAACTTCCTTCTATCCCCACAAATTCTGTATCCCCATCGTTCCTCCTTCCCCCCCATCGCAATGGAGGATGAGGCCTTTCTCCCATCTCAGACCAGTCCTTCAAACCGTCCTCCAGAGACCACCCTTCTCACCTTCCCAAGGCTTTTTTGGGTAGCTTCTTCTACTCTCTGACTCATTCCCTTGAACAAAGACGCAAGTTCAGTGTCTTTCTTCTTAACAAAAAAGAAAAAGGGGAGAAGTGAGGGGAAGAGGGAGGGAAGGGGAGGGAAGGAAAGGGAAAAAGGAAAAAATTTAAAGACAAGACTTTCCTTTGATCCACCACTCCCTCCAGCTATGACACCATTTCTATGCTTTCTTTCACAGGGAAATTTCTCGAAAGAGCCATCCCTATATACTCAGTCTCTGCTTCCTCACCTTCCCTTCATCTGTCAACCCCCGCATTCTAGCTTCTACCCTCACCCCTCCACTAAAATCACCCTTGTCAAGATCACCAACAACTGCCAGATTGCCAAATCCAGCAGACACTTCTAGGAGCTGATACTATGAGAGGCCAGTGTAGTGGGTAAGACAGGGCTTCTGGAGCCAGCCTGCCAAAGTTTGAGCCCCAGATCTACCACTAACCAACTGTGTGTCTGTGACCTTGAAAAAGACACTTAATCCCGCTGGGACTCAATTTCCTAATCCATAAAGCGGAGGTGATAATACCAGCACCTATATCCTAGGGTTGATGTGACGATTCGACGAGGTAATACATGCCGAGTACATTCACACAGTGCTCGGCACACAGCAGGTGCTCCCTATGGGCCGGCTCCATCAGCGGCTTCTATCTGACCTCACTTCTCAGCAGACTTCGCCAGCATGGATCAACTTCCTCCTTCCGTAAAATGTCTCTTCTCTCGACCCTGTGACCACACGCTCTCCTGGCTCTTTCCACCAGCCACCTCACTGGTCCCTCTGTTCACTCCCACTCTATCCAACCTCTAGGTACTGAAATCCCAGAGACCCATTCTGGGCTCTCTCCTCTCCTCTCTTCATTCTCTCCGCTAGGTGACTATACCCATTCCCATCTATATGCTTGTAACTCCCAAATATCTGTGTCCATCCCAACCTCTTTGACCTCCAGCCTCATGTAACCAACTACCTACTCGGTATCTTCACTTGAATGCTTAAAGAAAAACCCCAATCCAACATGTCCCAGGAAAAAGGCAGAATCCGCCCTGAAACCTACTCCTCCCCCAGGCTTTCCATCTCAGTAAATGGCACCCTTGACTAGTTGCTCTGGCCCAAACCCCAGGAGTTATCCTTGATTCTTTCCTTTCCCTCGCTCCCCACGTTCGACCTATCAATAGGTTCTGTTCTACCTCGAGCTTATCTTGTCCATCCATGTCTCTCCACCTGTCCCACCATCACCATCTTCTCTCTCATGGACAACAGCACAGATCTCTTCTCCACCATCCTCCTTCTTCCCTCAGACTCGTCTCACGATGACCAGAGTAATTGTTTTACAAAATACCTATCAGACCGCATCTCTCCCTACATGAAAACCTTGCAGTGGTTTGGGACTGTGCTTGGAATAAGAATGCAAGCTTCTTATTTTGGCTTAAGGTGCCCCTCGAGATGTGGCCCCTGTCTCCCTCTCTGACCACACCTTCTCCTGCTGCCCCCCTTGCTCTCTCCACTTCGGCCACACTTGGCATCCTCTCTGCTTTGTAACATACTTGAGTTCTTTATTTTTTTAAGATTTTATTTATTTATTTGACAGAGAGAGAGACAGCAAGAGAGGGAACACAAGCAGGGGGAGTGGGAGTGGGAGAGGGAGAAGCAGGCTTCCCGCCGAGCAAGGAGCCTGATGTGGGGCTCGATCCCAGGACCCCGGGATCATGACCTGAGCCGAAGCCCAACGACTGAGCCACGCAGGCGCCCTGCATACTTGAGTTCTTTCTGGCCTCAGGACCCTTGCATTTGCTGTTCTCCCTGCCTGCAAACTTTACTCGTCGGCTCTTCACATCGCCGGCTCTTTGTCAGCCTTCAGGCCTTAGCTTAAATAGGGCCTCCTTTAAAAGGCCTTCTCTGAACACCGTATCTAAAATAGGGCCCCCTGTTGTTCTCTACCACAGCCGTCTATTTACTCCATTTGTTTCTCTCTATGTATTTGTTTGTTTCTTCCCTATCTGTTTTCCTCACCGGAATGTAAGTATCCTGAGGGCAGACGCCTTGGCTGTCTTGTTCACCAGGTATCCCCTAGAGTCTGACACAGTGACGGTCACGAAGAATTCAGTAACTGCTGAATGAACGGATAGATGAGGCAAAACGGAATGTGGGGCTGGGGGAAGAAAAGGGGACAAACTGGAGAGACATGATAAGACTCGGTGATGGGTTGGATGTGGGGAGAAGAAGAAGTGAGGCAAGGGTGACTCCCAGGCTTCTGGCTTTACTAACTGAGTGGATAGTTGTGCCATTTATGAAACTGAACAATATGGGAAGGGGCCAGCTTGGGGGGCAAATGATGACTTCAGCTTGATGCATTGAGTTCAAGGTCCCTGTCTGACATAAAATGAACATTCCCAGCAAGTACATTGGGACCTGAGTTTGGGACTGAATGAATGATCAGGGCTAGCGATAAATAATGGGACAGGATCAGAATGGCTAAAAGCAGGAGAGTAGACAGGACTGCTCTGGAGAGCGCATCGAGAGAGAAGACCAGAGACAAAAGCTAGAGCAAAAACCGACCCATGCATGGCATGAGCGGAGAGTAAAGGAGCTGCAAGAGGCAAGAGACAAGGCCAAGGGAAGAGAAAATGTCAAGTAGGAAGGGACATGTGGCAGGGTCAGATGTGAGGGTGGAAAAAGACCACTCGCTTTGGCGATAAGGAAATCACTGGTGACCTTTAAAAGAGCAATTTCAGGGGAGAGGGAGAGAGGTCACGATGCAGGAGACTGAAGAGAGAGTGGGAGGTGAGGAAGCAGCAACAGTGAGAGTAGACAATGCTTCCAAGAAGTTTGGCTGAGAAACGAAGGCAAGAGAGAAGATGATAGCTTAAGAGGGAGGAAGGGTCAAGGGAGGGTTTCTTTGAAGGATGGGGGAGAGCTGAAAATCCTTGAAGCCTGAGGAGGAAACAGCACTCAAAAGAGGGGGAGAGGTGGAGATAGAGGAGAAAGGGAATAATTGATGGACTTAGAGGTTAGGTATGGAGAGGAGGATAGACATGTCTTCCTAGGAGACAAGAGGGAGAGGGAGGGAGAGGGGGGAGGGAAGGAGGGAGGTTAAGGAAGAAGAGAGACTGGGAGGGACAGAGGGAATACAGAGAAATTTTGAGATGGACAGCCTTTATCTTAGCAAAATTGGAAGCCAAGTATTAGGAGGGGTGTAGTCGTAAGGCTGGAATGTAAGAAAAGTGGAAGATGGGAATAGCAGTCCCCATGGGATGAGTCGAAGAACTGTGGGACAGCAGCATCAGCAAGGGCCTCCTGTTGAGGCTGGCAAACTTGTAAGTGCTACGATCTAACTGGCCAGGGCAAGGGACAGGAGAAGGCAGAAATAGCAAAGCTGGAATGGCTTCAAGTCATGAAGGTCACGGCTGGCACCAGGGTCCAGAGGAGACAAAGCAGGGAGGTGAGGGGGCCTCGAAGAGGACTGGGGGCTGGAAGAATGGGCTAGGGGATGGGGGTGAGAGACTAAAGTGCTCAGGAGTGGAGGGACCAATCCATTTTTCTCGCTCATCCAGCAAATGGTTACTTCGCTCAGTACCAAGCGCTGGAACCAAACCAGGTTCAGGAAGAATAAAGCAGCCAGTCACCTGACGGATGGGGGTAGAGGAGCCGAAGATAGGAAATTCTGGAGCTGGAGCCCAACCCAAGTAATGACAAGGCTTCAGATGTGGCCACGCCCGTGGGACACTTCAATAGAGAGGACATGTAGATGATGCCATGGAGGCAAGATGGCTGGGGGTCAGGCTGAGGAGATGTCCATGAGGGCACTAAAGCCAGTAGGGAAGACAGCAGGGGCCAGGCTAGAGAGAAAGGCTCGGGACCTGGTGCTGTGGGAACTGAAGACCAGCCAGTATTCTGGTGGGCAGCGGAGCTGAGCAAGGGGAGAGGGGCTTCTGGTCAATAACGTGGCTCCTTGTGGAAGAGGGGGAATTGGAATCAGGCACAGGAGCCTTGGGCCATAAACAGCAATTACACACTTGGACCACACCAGGCTCCCGACTGCTCCTAGAAGCCAAGCTGGGCAAAGGTAAAGGCAGGGCATCCATTGGAGAGAGTTGCTAAAGGCAGATACCTGGTTTCAGTTCTGATCTGAGGGTAAAGGGAGAATGTGTTTGGAGAAAATCTGGAGGCCGGTGGCTTGGTTTCCAATGCAACAGGCTTTCATGGAGAACACTCAGGGCGGTGGTAGGGTGAAGTCCGACTTGGGTAAGAAGGATGAGGGCCTGGGGAGGCACCTGAGAGAGCCATTTGTCCTTGGAACAGTCCTCCGGGAGCATGACCACAGCAGCTTGTCCAACCTCTTCCCAGCAGGTCCAAATGCAAGAGACAACTGCCTGGGTCCCTGGAGCTGACTAGCGCAAAGCATGTCAGGTCCCCCAACTTTTCATGGAGGTTCCTCAGCTGGTCCAGTCACTCCATCTCATTTGCCAAGAGGTTGGCCCTAATAGCTCCCAAACAGAATCGAGGCCAGGTCTTCGGTGACATCAACGGAGCACCATAGTGCCACACAGCTCAGGACAGTGTAAGCAGGCCCGTGTGAGTTCTGTCCCGTTGCTTTGTTCTCTGAACCTCTTCAGTTTCCTCACGCGAAAAGGCCGCGGAAGTAAGGAGGCTTTTCCTCACAAGGTGGTTGTGATGATTCACCGCGAGAATGCTCGGAGGAGTCTTTGTAAACCGTCAGCCGCTACACAAATGGCAGCCGGGAGAATCGCATTACCCCTGGGAGGAGGGCCGTGGCCTCAAGACCCTCTGACCCATCAGCCTGTCTGCCTGTCCAGTGGCCCACCTTCCCAGCTGTCAGTATAGGAAGCTGGTGTCCTAGACTTTGTGCCCAGCCGGGGCCCTGCTGCTCCTGGTGGGTAGCAGTCCAATAGGAAAAGGGGGTGGTGGAGAACCAGAATACTGAGGAGAGGGAAGCATGGGGAGGGTCCGTGAGGATGCATTCATCTGGCTGTCATCTAGCCCTGCCCCCTGGGGACTCCAGAACCTATATGATTCCTATTTTCTTGACTTTTGGGTGGTTGGGGGCCTCAGGCTGGCCAACTGGATGCTGGCCCCCAAAACCAGCCTGAGCTGAGGGTGATTGCTACAGGGGACCCTAAGGGGCCTGGAGAATGAGGTGGGAGAAGCACCAGACAGAGCAGGGGAGTGGCCTGCAGCCCCGGGCTGATTCTGCCTGGGAGGGAGGGGATGTGAGCAAAACAGCTGAGCTGGAAATTGGGGAAATCAAACATAAACCACCTCAATAAAGCTGTCAAGGCCAACAAACTCCCTCTTTTGATCCCATTGCCTGACCTGTACTTGGCTTCTAAAGGGACAACAAATTCACTCTGGTTTTCAGGTGAGGCCTCTGGCGCCACTCAGCCCCAGTTGGAATCTCAACTCTACCCCTTATTAGCTGTGAGACCTTGGACAGGTAAGTTAGCCTCCCCAGGCCTCAGTCTCCTCATCCGTAAAATGGGGATGTTGTGGGATTAAATGGCTTAATATTGGTAACACAGTTACAGTGGTGTCCGGCGTACGGTCAGCACTCGGTGTTTCTAGAGCACTAAAGTCTGGGCAACAGAAGTTCTACGGACAAGGCATGAAACTTGCGTTCGGACAGATGTGGACTTAAACACTTCATACCTCGACCTCTCTGAGCCTCAGATTCCTCATCTTTAAAGGGGGTGGTGGACTAACTCTTAGCCCACAGGATGGTCTATAGACGAGGTGAAGAAATGTCTGTGACTGCGTCTGGCTAGCCCCAGCACATAGTCAGTGCTGTGGACATGGCAGCCTTCTGAAATCTCCCAAACACCAAGCGTCATTTCCCAGAGACTACCCCAGATGCCTGAATAATCATCAGGACAGTGCAGGACCCCCTTCAGAGGCTGAGTTCCGCCTGGGACTCATCTTCGTCAGGGTTAGAGAAATCCAAGGGCCTCACACTTTTCTGTGAGAGCTTCCTGCTTTATGTATGTAGAGCAACAGTGCTTCTTCAACTCCAGAGTCTACCAGAATCACCTGGAGAGCTTGTTCAAACACAGATTGCCAGGCCCCGCCCCCTAGAGTTTCTGATTCAGTAGGACGGGGGTGGGGCCTGAGAATCGGGATTTCTAACAAGTTCCGGTCGCGGGGGGGGGGCGGGTTGCTGATGCTCCTGGTCTGGGGAGCACCTTTTGAGAGCTACTACAACTATAACGTGCAGGTGGAATTCCTGGGGAAGGTGTGTGTCTGTGGATTCTGACTGAGCAGGGCGGGGGGCGGGGGTGGGTAGTGGCTTTCTAAGAAGCTCCCAGGTGTGGCTGCTTCTCCACCCACCACACCTGGGGTAGCAAGGGCAAGGCTTAGAGGGGTGGTTGACAGTTAATCGCCAGCCCCTCCCCACCAAGAGGTTGGCAATTTAGCCCAGGTAAATGGACCAGGGGAGGGGAGCGCAGGGCTCAGGAACCAAAAGCTCAGCAAAAAGGCAGCGTCCGAGAGGAGGTGAGAATGTAGGCCGTTGCTGGTGGGGTGAGGACCACAGTGAGGGCAAGAGTACTGGATTCCAGCAATGGCAGGCAGCCTGCGTGCACTTCAGCATGAACAGCAGTCTGCACGCGTCCATGCATGCACATGAGAGGGAAAGCAAAAAATTCTGAAAGAATTTGATATATTTTTTCAAGCATCAAAGTAGTATCCTGGGAAAAATTGAAACTTTGTTGGACTTCCTTACACGTATTTTATGGTTTAGTATTGTTTTAAATTTTAATTATATATGGCCAGCGGGGGGCAGGGGCTGTGCAGGCTGTTTAAAGCTTAAGGCCTCTAGAGGTCTTAAAAGCCAACCCTGGTGGCCCCTGGAGTCTTTGTCCCTGAGCTTTGGGGCCTGAGGCTGTGGCCAAGTGTGGGTTCTGCAGGCTCTCCCCCGCTCCCCCCAGGACCCACAGACGAGATTCAATTTTCTTAGATGGGATACGAGGACCTGGAGGGGCGTCGGTGTCACGGGATGGAGGGACAAAGGAAGTGGGCGTGGTTTCCATGTGCTCCAATCAGCACGCACACATACGGGCAGTACCCCCTCCCCTGCACTGTGACAAGTACCCCTGGCCCCACCAAAGGCAAAGAGGCCCAGGATTCAAAGTCACACAGATCTGCCTGTGAAGCCCAGCTCCCCCTCTTCTTAGCTATGTGACCCGGGACAAGGGACTTTTCCCTCGGTTTCCTCACCTGCAACATGGGAGTCAGAACTACATGGGTGACTCTAGATGAGGTGCTTAGAATAATGCCCGGCCCTAGCGTACCCTCAAAAATAGTGGTTGCTGTAATGGTCTAGTTAGTAGTCGTCAGGAGAAACAGAGATGAGTTTGGACAACGGGAAACATCTGTGCCAGGAGACAAAGGGGCACGTGTGAGGGGTGCGTTGTGTTCAAGATGTGTCTGGAGGAGCCCGCCAAGATTCCTCAGGGCCAACCTCCCACTGCCCAGTCCTGACACGTCATGCACAGGCCAATGAGACTATCAAAGCCCAGACTTAGTCCTAGGTGGCCTGGAGACCCCGGTGATGGAACTGAAAACCTTGGGGACCTGGGGCCTCTGTTTACTTCTTCTTTTTTTTTTTTTTTTTTTTTTTTAGGTTGGAAGCCATCCCTTGTTAAAACAGAGCAGCAATGGGGCTCTGTGGCTTGGCGTTCCCTCTCCAGGCTGCTGCCAGCGTCAGGTCCCGCTGCTAGAAGCAAAATGGCTGCCCTATCCTTGGTGGTCCTTGGTGAGCATCAGCCTCTCAGCTGGCAGAGGGGAAGTTGAGGCCAGGGGCTTCTCTGGACCTATATCGGACCCACAAGAAGGACCTTGAGGGAGGAGGAGGAGGAGGAGCTGGGTCCTGTGGGAGGAGGTGAGCAGGTAGAGCAGGGCTGGCTCCCACCACGACAGGCATGGGCCCCGGGGCACCAGAAACACAGAGCTCAGAGAAGCCAGAGAAAAGATTGCGGGCCAGTGCCACGGGGGAGGAGAGAGGCGATTCCAAGACTCTGAGAAGAATGAGAGGTTCGTGTATGGCCTGAAAGAGAGGGGAAAACAAAAATGGAAGCAGGCAAGAAGAGGCTCAGAAACCAATGTGAAAACAGGGAACAACAGAGGCCTATAAGAATAGTATCGGACCCACTCGTCAACACCAGAACGCTGGTATAGCGTTTCCAAAATGCCCGAGGCCTTCCTCTTCCGAAAGAGCACATCTGTATTTAAATGTCCTTGGGAGCCCTGAATCAGCTGAACCTTTTCCCATTGCCCACAAGGGCAGCTACATTGGCTGCAAGGGGTGATTTCAGAGTGTGACACGAGGCGGCCCCTCGTCTCTGCCTCCTCCCCACCTGTGCTGGCCTATCCAGGCCGGTGGGCCCCCTCAACATCACCAGGAATCTCTTTCACCACCTTCTTCGGGCTTTGAAAGATTCATTCTCCCGCGCACGGAACTCGTGCAGCAACAATTCATTTATCTTCCTGGTTTTATTGTATCGACATCCTGGGCTGCCAATCGAAGCTTCGGGCCGGCACGGAATTGGCCAAGACCAATGGGTCATTGGCACGACAGCCCGAACCCAGGACAGGCTTTCCAAAGCAGTGTGGCTGACTTCCAGAGGGCTCTCCAGCCGGTCTCTTCATGGACACTGGCTTGGGATGGGAACCACAGGCCTTGCCCCAACGCTTCGTGTCCCGGAAAGGGCCAGTGACGGATGCAAGGGCGCACATGGATTGGCAGGAAGAAAAGCCGGGTCTCGGGCCTTCCGGCTCTGTCCCCTGGCCATGTCACTGGATTGCCTCAAACTTTCCCAAACCTTCCTTCAAGTGAGCACGCAGTGCCTATTAAATCACTCTTCTTGGCCTGGCCAAAGCCC